CCATCCATGTATAATAGTTTTGGTTGCTTTATATCCTTGTAAATATTTGGAATTATCACTCTTTTAATTTGAGACATTTTGATGGGTATGTACTAAATAACTTTTGACTAAACCCAAGAGAAACTAAAAAAAAGTTCTAATTTTTTTTTATTTTTACAATGAACATATTTGTTTTTGTTGTAAAATGGTAATTTAATTTTTTTTTACCAAAGTGATAATCAAACACTATTAAAAGTTTTTCATAAAAAAAAAACCATCACCTTTCCTACTCTCATGCTAAGTCTTTCTTCAGAGGAAAGTACCCTTAGCTTTTAGTTGTTTTTCATATTTGCTAATATATAGTTTTTATTGTTTTTTTTTTTTTTTTTTTTTATTTATCAGCTCCTGACATGATCTGTTAACTTCCTGAGGTAGCATATGAGGACACAGCTCTCCCATCTACCCTGTATTCCCTCTCTAACTGCTAATTCCTCTGCTAACACAAGATCACATTTTGGTTAAAACAGTTGTCAATATCTCATGATTATGATCACGAAACTACTGTTCACTGCTGATGGGGTAAAGCTATAATCATTCCTCCTTTCTTATACAACTCTTTGTTTTCATGGCATTAATAATTACCTCATTTCTTCATTTGCCTCATTTGTTGTGTTCCTACTGTTAATTCTTTCCATATATTCCAATATCTTTTCCACATGTCCATGAATAATATCTTCCATATGCTCAAATAGATCACTCATTGCTGTTCCCTGCAGGCCTCTGTACTCCTTTTCCACTCTGAGTTGATTATTCTCTTGGTGTGTTGACCAATTGAGATTTCTCTTTACTGTCCCTTCAACACTCCTGTATTAGTTTCCTTATTTGCTGAATCCCGTATCTTACTCTTTCTTGGTTTAGCCCTTTATTTTGCTAGAATACAGTCTTTACTATCTATGGATGGGAAATCAATTTTTTGAGACCTAAAATACCTGAAAATACCTTTATTTTACTCTTAACTTGACTCACAATCTGGCTGGGTATAAAAGTTTAATTTGCAAATAAATTTTCCTCATAATTTTGAAGGCATTGTTCTATTAAATCCTAACTTGCCTTATTGCTGCTGCAAGATCCAACACAATTCTGTTTCTGGACTCTTTGTATTTTGTAAGTTATTGTTTTTCTTTTCAGAAATTTTTAGTCTTTTTTGTTTGTCCATGATAAGAAATTTCACAATGATGCTCTTCAGTGTGGATATTTTTCATATTCATTATATTGTATACATAATGGGCATGCAGTTTAGAGTTTCATATTCTAGAAAGTTTCCTTCAGTTCTGGAAAGTTTTTCTTTTGTTATTTCTTTGATCACTCTTTTCCCAGTGTTTTTTATGGTCCCTTTTTCTATAATACCTTTTATTGGGATGTTGAATCTTTTGGGCTGATTTTCTATCTAATATTCTTACATTTTTCATCTTTTGGAGAGATTTCCTCTATCTTCAAGCCTTCCTCCTACATATTTATTCCAATTTTTCTTGTTCTCTTTTTTGTCTCATGGCTGAAATTCTTCCCTTATCTGTTTGAGAATATTGATTATAATTGTTTTGGACCTTTTATCTTTTGTTGTTTATTTGCTCTCATGTTGGACACTTAGCTGTCTATTCATATTAAAAAGAGACACTAAAAAGCTGATGGATGTGCATGTGTGAGGCTTGTTGATTAGTGAACTTCATAGCAGAGTACTAGGATAGCAAGCTGTATTTACTATGCCACCAAATGTCACTCTCTTGTGGCATCTCTCTTAGTCCATTTCATTTTTCCAGAGAAAAATTCAGTAGGCTCCTGCATGCAATATATAAGCCTGGCTCATGACATTCGAAATTGGCCTAGGAAAAGGAAGTGAGTCTCAACCTCTGTCCTATCTTTCCTTTGCCAGATTTCTGGGTCCTCTTGTTCTTTCCAGAGAATAAACCTTCTGTCTACTGCCAGGAAGAGCAAGATGAAAGGAAGCATTAACCAGATAGTTGCTTGGCTTCCTGGGCAGGAGATATAGCCAATGAGGGGTGGGAATAAGACTAATCATTCTAAATATAAACTTTCAACCAAAGTCCTTCTTTTAAACTCTTTACTGTCTGTAGTACCTTGTGTCTCCAACTACTAAACCCTTTCTCCAATAAGTCAAACAACTTCACCGACTATTAGCTTCCACCTCTCCAGAAACCTAGGTACTAGCTCTTCCTTTCTGCTAAATCACTTCCATCCAGTTTCAACCATTTTCCATTTTCTAAAATGTTGTTGAAATCTTTCCACTACTATTGTTCTCTCCTGATTGTGTGGTCCTTATAAATTTATACCTTTTTCAGTTGCCTTCATTTTTAATTTAGTGGCATTTTTGAAGTTGATTTGCCATGTTTAACTAGAAGAATCATTCTTAAAGGATATAGTTTTTGGCACTTTAAGGATTTGAGAATATGCCTCAAATGCTTCACTTAAAGATTAGTTTTTCATATATATTTCTAAATTTTTAAACTACATATTTAAGCTATGCTTTAAAAAATCACGATTTCATGTAAAGAAATGAAGAGAAATGAAAAACAATGAATTTTGGAACACTGAAAAGAAATAAAATAAAGTAAAATGGGAAAAAAAAAAGAAATTTCTTATCAACTGTCAAAGAAATATACTGTTGAAATTGGTTTCCAGAAATGGTTAGCTAGTCTGGCCTGAGTCTTCTATATCTTTTTACCTAGTCTCTCTGAAGATAAACATCAGTATTTGTAAGGCACATGGCTAAATTTAGGACTTATTAATGAAATGGATTTTGTATTTTTCATAAAGCCATCTCACCTTTGTTGAAATTGCCCCCATAAACTTAGCTTCTTCATTATTATCCACCCTTAACCATGTAAGGCAACTGCTCCCAGAAAACAAATAATATACTGTATTTCCTTTAGAATGATCTAAGAATTTGAACCTAACATTTAAACTTATACAGTAGGGGCACCTGGGTGGCTCAGTGGGTTAAAGCCTCTGCTTTCGGCTCAGGTCATGATCCCAGGGTCCTGGGATCGAGCCTCACATCAGGATCTCTGCTCAGCAGGGAGCCTGCTTCCTCCTCTCTCTCTCTGCCTCTGCCTACTTGTGATCTCTGTCTGTCAAATAATAAAATCTTTAAAAAAAAAAATAAAAATAAACTCATGCAGTATCTTAACTAAAACAAGTTCATCAAGTATGTTTCTTTTTTCCTATGCATGATTCAGAATTACGTTTTATTTTTTTCTTCCAGACTTGGACAGGCCATAACCCTATAACGGAGCTCATTTCCAGATTTAATTTATGTCATGTTAGAGTTATTTGGCTTTGTAAACCTAACATAAATACAACTTTGCACATTGAACATACTGTTAGAGAGCACCCTAAATGCTAAATAACAAAATGGAACAAGTTTCTACAGCTAATTCCCAAAAACCTTGATATTGGTGACAAGATACTACAGTATGCCTTGAGGGATCTGCTAATCATATCCAGGCCTTTGCCTTATGAGCATGAACTGAATGCTGGCCTGGCCTGTAATTGGACTCTTATGACCATCTGGCAGCTTCTGTGACATATTAGTGGCCTTGGCCCAGTTTCTAATTGGCATGTACCAGCATCAAATTGGCATGTATCTGCATCCACAAGACAGCTTAACTTTTTAAATAAGAGAGCTCATAATATCTTTTCTTTAGCTATGATGCAATTGCTTTTGGCAGGTTTTTGTTTTAACTGAGAAGAAGCTAAAATTTCAAGATTCACATGTTACTTTAATCCTGAACCTTTGAATCTGCTTTTCTACTAACTGAAACCGAGTCTAGAAACTGCTGGTCCTGTCCCCATGTCTTGAAAAAATTATGTATATATATATACATATATATATGTGTGTGTGTGTGTGTGTATATATATATATATGGCTTCAAGCCATAGGCATTCTTAATCACAGACTGTCTGCAAACTTTAACAGAAAGCTTCATCTGTAATCATTTTAAAGAGAGCCAGTAGAGACAAGATTGTTTTAGTTAGTAGCTTACCAACTTAAACTGAGTACTTTCTGGTTGGGATGGAAACTTAATCCAGGAAAAACTGAGAATAAGTTTTCACTCATATTTTATATCTTACTTGGCAACTTGTTTGAAAATATTGCATAAAAGAGCCAGCACAGGAAACATTTTATATTCTTGCTTATGATTAATAAATAAGGAATCTGAGGCATTCTATTTTATAAATCAAGGTCTTAATCCAAATCTCCTGTTTTTCTACATTTAAAAAAAAAACCTCAGGGTAAAAATAGCATTAAACTATATGGGGTGCTCAGGGGTCAAGGCAACAGGCAAAACTGATTACTCAAAATGCCATTGTGCTGAGACTTTTATCAGACCATCAGCAGAAACATTCATTTTGTAGTCACTATAGATAAGGCATTTGGTGCAGCTGGTTTTATAAAAATGTAAGTAAATATGTCCTACTTCAGTTTTTCAATGCTTATTGAAAGAGGAAAGGAATGAATAACAAAATAGTAAACCAATGACTTGGAAATACAAGCTCACACATTGCTAGTTCATGGCAAATGCCAGTCACTCTAGTCAAAGACTTTCTTAGCACATCTTAATTTTAATCACATCTACTCTGCCTGTATTTTATAAACCTGGCCACTGTCTTCAATCTTTAATACCCTGTACCACCACTTCAAACACACATATATACTCACTCACACATTTTCACCTTTGTTCAAAGATTTTTCCAGTCTCAAGTCATTGGCACTTTCTGATTTTTCATTGGCACTTTTTGATTCCCTCAGCCCAGCCCCTGCCTAAGAGCCTATTGGTCTTCCAGCATCACTGTCTGTACAATATTACCAAGACAGAGAATACAATACAGTATTACCAAGACAAGAAGAATACCTGTATGGCCTAGGTACTCTGGGGTTACTACCATTAGTTGACCTGTCGTCATGCTAAGATGAAAATTTCTTCATCTGTATCTCTTTACAGCCTAAAGAATGTTTCTTGATACAACCAAAGGAAACAAAAGAAGATGCCACCAAGACAAGGAAGAGAAGAAAGGTATTATTCATACTTTCTTACAATTTTCTTACAACCGCGGGTGATCTACCTCACATTTCTATATACTGTACTTTGATGAGGCAGTTGTTATAATTCCCACTTTAGAGGTTGTAAGATTCAGTGAGGTTTGGTGACTTTCCTAAGGTCACAAGTATTAAGTGTTTCTATTGGAGCTAAAAATAAATTCTTCTGATTCCTATTTCAGTCTTGTGGAGCACCAGACATCTTTGCTATCCACCTTTGTTTTCATTGCTGTTAGAAGACATGGATTTCTAATTCTAAAAGGATCCCAAAGCTGTCCTGCCCTCTGGCCCTTCTGGCTCTGCTGGAAAGAAATTTACCAACTTTCTTTTCATATCCATTTCAGTTTTTTAAACCAATAAAAAGAAAATAATAACCAGATGACCATAGTATATGGCATTTCTGACCATAATTTGGAACCATAATTTAAAGCAAAAGTCTCCCCTTACATTCTAATACTTGCTTATGAGTGCCTGGAAGACTCTTTTGCTCCTGTACAGACTTTCTTATGGCTCAACCTTGGAGAAGGTGTGGTTTGCTTTGAACCTCCACCACAGTTGTGAAAACACCAGTGTAATTCTCTCCCTGCCAACAGGGTCTACTGTTGAATTCAGCAGAGGAAATATGATTGGGATTAGAGTAAAGAAGATGGATTCGAACCAATTACTTAACAGCAAGCTTTTAGAAAGTTCAGAGTTTCTTTGCTCACAAATGGCAGATGCCAAATTGGCTGAAGTTTGGCAAGTCCTTAAAGAAGTGACTTCAACTTCTCTTTGATAGTTTGTACACTAATGGCCTTCAGGAGTGTTAAGTTCTTGGTGGCTCAAGGTCAAAACTCTAGCTAGATAGTTTTAGCCTTGGCTGAAGTCATACTAAACTGTGCCTACTGATGACATATTTTAAAAGTCAATTCATTTGACAGAACTTTGATTATTCTTGGCAGCGGTATAGAAATGAGGATATTGTGGAAGGAGGTGAAAAGGTGGGGGTGGGGAGTGGCTCTTTGTGGATCTTTGTCGAAACATTAGAAGGAAATGAGAAGTTTGTGGTAAAAATTAACTGAACAGTGGTGTGCTCCTAGTACATTACAGGCACTCAATAAATGCTGCACAAGTAAATTCAAATCAAAATAAATGCTGTAAACTTATTCCTGTTCTGCTTTCCATGGGGCCACTTCAAGACTCTCCCCCAAGACTTGACAGTCAAGAGTCTACAGTCCTTTGCAGTGGGCTCCAATGCTCAGATTACTCCTGCAAGTTTTACCTTAATCCAAGAAACCCAAAGTGAGACTCGGTGCCTTGAAAACCAAGTTAGGCAAAAAATTCTCAAAATTCTACTCTGGGGAATAAAAATCTTCGAAGGATTAAAGAGAGGTTTCCACAGCAACAAGATTGACTTTTAACAGAAAATAATGCCCTATTAATGGAGACTCCTACAGAAATTTCAGTTCTCCTAGAAGCCATAGACCAAGAGTTACAAAGAGACTTTTAGATATCCCATTCATTTTTCAAAGCGGTAGTTGTGTCCAAAAAGTATTTAAGTTTTTTCAAGTGTATCTATTGGAACTCACATTCATACTCAGTTATCACCAAAATCTGTATGCAGTTTAAGACTATTCTAAACTAACATCATTCTAAAATCTATCTTCCTGGGATTTTTTCCTTTCTTCTCATGTCTTAGAAGAAAATTACAGATGTTCTTGCAAAATCAGAGCCAAAACCAGGTGCCCCTGAAGACCTACAGAAACTGATGAAGGACTATTACAGCAGCAGTCGTTCAGTGATTGAATTAGAAGAACTAAACCTACCAGGTACAGCCAGACTTGTTTGGTTTTTTCCCTCCTTTTTTTCCCCTTACTGTTCTGAAGTTAGTCATTTAGCAGAACTCATTGTTATTGCTATCAACTTTCCTGGTGAGGAGGAGCAAAAAGGGTTTTTCTTTCCTACACTATGTATGTTATGGCTAGGTATCTCCGCCAGTGAATCAGTGTATTTTCCACGTGCTAATACTCCTTTCCTCAACCTCATAGTTGTAACTTTTGAATGATTTCTTCATTAAGATGCTAAATGGTATGTGTTCAGTCTAAAGAAAGATTTATAATTTAATTTTTTTTAAAAAGCTAATTGTTGAGTGTGCATCGTTTTAGCGTTCTTCAAGGAGTAAGAATCCCTAGTTGAGGATAGAAGTTAAATTAAAATAAAAATAAAGCACACATTAAAAGTATAGATATGAAACATAGTTTACTCACCCTTTATAGACAAAAACTTTAGCTTTTTTTTTTTTTTAAGATTTATCTATTTATTTGAGAAAAAGAGTGTGCACACTGAAGTTGGGAGAGGAGGGGAGAGAGAAGGAGTCTCCAGCAGGCTCCATGCTAAGCAGGGAGCCCAATGACCGGTCAGGGGCTCAATGCCAGGCTCAGTGTCATAACCGTTGAAGTCATGACCTGAGTTGAAACCTTCTTAGTTTTGTTGTGCTTATCACAGATTTCTAGTTATAGTTTTGTTTTTATGGTAGTGTTTTGGGTCTCAGGCCAGACTTTTTCAAGCAAACTATCTAAAGATAGGAATAAAATTCCACATTTTTAGCAAAGCTGACACCTCACTCCAAGTGATTCTTAAACCTACTATTGTTCGAGATCTACTGCCTTAGAATATTTATAATTAAGTTAAAAATATTGCAAAATTCATAAAACAACTGATTTTAATTAATTTAAAAACTCGGATACATCCTCTAACTCTTTGGGGCAGAGAGTAAAGAGATGTTGTTAAAAATCAAACCACACAAGGTTTGGGTATCACTCTTTCAGATGAGCTTTTTATAGATTACTAGGGATATCTAATTACTACTGTTGGAAAAAGTCAAGGGTAGCTTGATTTCCCTTTTCCATTACAACTTTATGCTTTCTAGAGGCTTAAGGAGCTGAAAAACATCCCATTCCCTGAATATTTATAATTCCTTTGTGATGTGCTTTAAAAAAAAAAAAAAAAATACATTAAGTTTGGAAACAGGAGTGCCCCTGTCTGCTTCTTTTCCAAAAGGAATACCCTTTAGGGAATTTAAGGAGTGCATTTCCAAAAGAGCAAGATCTGGAGTTTTAGACTCACAAAGCCCAGAGGAGTCTAAAACTCCAGATCTTGCTCTTGTGGAAATGCACTCCTTAAATTCCTTAAAGGGTATTCCTTGTACTTTTTTTTTTTTAAACAGTTAGAAACCACTCCTGTCCAGGCATAGTTCCTTTGAGAAGAGCTAAGTCCTGACTGTTCTATCATAGAAACAAAGTGTTATAACAGAGCTTCTGTTCAAAGTTTAACTGAAGTTTGACTCAGTGGTTGCTTTATCCTTCTAGTTCTTTGTTAGCGTACACAGGAAGGATTTGTGAGATAGTGGGATCGCTGATGCTGTGTATACTTATGGAACATCATAAATCTTCATTTTCTAGCATTATAGAGATACAGAGGTCATAAGAAACCTTTAAAGTCATTGGATTTCCATAGTGAGTTTACATTATATTATTGCTCTATTACAGTTCAGTTATATAGTTAAACAAGAAGGTATGGTCATGGCTTGGTTTAGGAAGGAAGGAAAATGTTAAAAATATGTTAAAAATACTTTTATAGACAAAAAGAACAGGTTTTCATTTTCAGTTAAGAAATTGGGCCATTCTGAGACACAGTGAATAAAAGCATCGAGAGACCATTTAGGAGAAGGCCCAGTTTGCTACATATGAAACCAAGGACAGAGAGGAAGTTCACAGTAAGAGAAGGGACACGCTCTGGGTTATTTGGAACAGGCAGGGGCAGGAGCATAAATATAAGCTGAATGTAGATAATGAGGTACTGTTCCTATTAGTTTGCTGAGTGTCTAAGTTGGTTTTGATTTGAGGTTATTTGTGTCTGTAGGGCAGGAACATGTCTTTTCGATTAATATTGTTCACTGTATATTGTTAATGTCATACACATGGGCACTTAATTAGTTTTGAGGCAGGAATTTCTTGGAGTTAACTCAGCTGTACTCCTGAGAGCTGCAGTGTGGTTTAGATCAGTACTAAATGCCTGTAGGCTAGCAGCAACTGAATCACCCAAAAATTAAAAAGCAAATTCCCAGGCCCACCCCCAAGGAATTCTGACTTACTAACAAAAAGAGTCCGTCCTGGGAATCTGTATCTTTTGTAAAGCTCTCCAGGTGAGTCTGATCATATTCAGACTTGGGAAATTACAGTTTTAAGAACATCAGAGGCTCTACAGATGTATAGGAAGCAACATCTTTGAAGTTAGTTAACTCACATAATGTGAGTTACATATGCTGGGTCACAATATTAATGTTAAAATTAATTTAAATTTAGTAATAGTTTACTCCCTAGCACTCTACTGTGTTTATAGAAAACCTTTTTCTTATAGAAAGAATTAGAATAATAAACATGATCCTGCTTTTTTTATACATCTCAGGTACAGAGTTAACAATACTACATAATTGCTAGACCTTGGTTGAGCAAGGCCCTTATATTTTATTTTAGTGTTATACTGTCTTTTACTCTAGTGTTGTGTTGTGTTTTGATGCATTATTCCCACTCTTCTTCAGTCCACAGTCCTCTTTACTTTCCCCAGAGCATTCACTCTAATGTGTTAATGCTTTTAAATGTGTATATATGCTTGTAAAACGTCATGTTGTTGTATGTGTGTACACTTCACAATTTCTCTAAATAATGTGCTGAACTTCTCATTCTGTCTCTTTCCTCTCTGAGCACTTTTTTGAGATATGCCTAATATCTCTTTTTTGATATGGCTTAATGCACATCAAGTTCCTTGCTTCTTAATGCTAAACAGTATGCCAGTGATTTTATCTACCACCTATTGGTCATTCATTTTCTCAGATATGGACACCTAGGTTGCTTCCTGCTCCCCACTATCACAAATAATGATAGGATAAATATACTCGTGTTTATCTCTTTATAGACCACATAAGAATTTCTTTCCATTATTTACTCAGGAATGTAATCATGGGGTCATAGAGTGTATACAACTTAATTTGACTACTTTCCAGAATCGCTATTACCAGTTTATACCTCCACCTACATTTCCTTTTTTTTTTTTTAGATTTTTATTTATTTATTTATTTGACAGAGATCACAGGTAGGCAGAGAGAGAGGAAGGGAAGCAGGCTCCTTGCTGAGCAGAGAGCCCGATGTGGGGCTCGATCCCAGGACCCTGGAATCATGACCTGAGCCGAAGGCAGGGCTTTAACCCACTGAGCCACCCAGGTGGCCCTCCTCCTACATTTCACAAGAGGCTTATCACCCTACATTCTTGACAAGAGTCAGTATTATACCTCTTTCTAACAGCTATCATTCTAATGGGTGTGTGAAGTATTACCTCATCATTATAATGTGCAATTCTATGACTAGTGAGTTTGAGCCTCTCTACTTAGATTTGTTAGCTCTTTCCCCTTTACCTTTGTATATTGCCTATTCCATGATTTGAAAAATAAACATTCTTCATAAGTTCATTGAATGATACAACAAGCTTCTATTTCACTACTCTAAGAATCAGGGACAAGGGTGCATGGGCAACTCAGCTGTTAAGCGTCTGCCTTCAGCTCAGTTCGTGATCCCAGGGTTCTGGGATCGAGCCCCGCATCTGGCTCCCTGCCCAGTGGGAAGCCTGCTTCTCCCTCTCCCATTCCCCCTGCTTGTGTTCCCTCTCTTGCTGTTTCTCTCTCTGTCAAATAAATAAATAAATCTTTAAAAAAAGAAAAGAAAAGAAATCATGGACAGTTAAAAGCTTACTTGCTCTTATTGCTACTTTTGTTTTAAATACTGGACAACACTTTAAAATATATAATGAGTCCCATTCACTAATATTTTACAACCTTATTCAAGAAGACACATTCACAATGGATCTGTTTTGATCATGTGTATGTTTGCAAAATCATATTCCAGACTCCTGTTTCCTCAAGGCCAATGATTTGACTCATAGTCTCTCATCATACCTAAAAGAAAGTAAGTAACCTATGGTTTTCTTTTAAGTTATTCACCAAGTTGTTATTACTCCATTAAAACATAAGATCCATCTAGTTAGAATAAAAACTTTTGAAACTATATTTAAAAGCAAAACTTTCCACCTCAAATGGATTTGAAATGGAGGTTTTTCTTAAGGTACATCTTGATATCAATTTCTGTTTATTTAAGTTTATTCTTGTTTTGCCCTGGCTTTAAGAATTTGAGTTTTTGTCTCATTTTTGGTTTATAATACATTAGAAGTATTGGTGTAGTAATCCAGAGATTAATTATCATTCTAGATCCAAGTCTCTCACTATTTGACCTGGGGCAAGTCGCTGAGTACTCTTCCAGGACTTGACTTTGTTACCTGAAAGATAAGGAAGTTGGACATGTGATCTTTATTCTGGCTGTAAAGTTCTGAAATTCTTTTCATATGCTCATAACTCAGACCATGGCTATCACACAACCTAATTTCATCTTTTCGATATTTATTGTGTATAGCCAGTAATAACCAGATTTTTCATATTAGGTAGTCATCTATTGCGACTGATAATGAAATAGTTTAGAAATAGAGATTTAACATTCTTTTTTCAAACTCAGAGTAGTTCTGATGGCACTCAACTTGAGTTCTTAAACCTTTCTGCACCTCAAATTCAGCAGGTGTAAATGTACGTTAAGGTAGAATAAACCTCAGTGGGTTATGAGAACTAAACAGTATCCATATTTAATATATGCTTGCTATTATTTTAATGTCATTTCTATTTTTATCTTGTGTTGAGTGTTTCCTTAAAATTTAACATTATTGAATCTGAGTTCTTTTTCTATTTAGTCTTTGCCATCAAGCATCAAACATAAATTATCAAAAATGTATTATTCCAAACTTTTTTTTACTTGGTACTAAAACTAGTCACATTTAGCCACTTGGCATATTATGTGTTTTATGATATAAGTTGATGATATTTCATTTTAATCTAATATCTCGAATAACCAGAGAATAGAATCTGGACAATACCTAATTAAACACTAACAAAGAGTAATTGGAGAATACTCATGGGGCTAAAATAAATAAGGGCCCTATTTTACAATATTTAGAGTAATATTTTTCTTACTTTTTTTTTTTTTTCAGTCTGCCCTAAGTGGGTAAAACTTCGGAAAAACCATAATGAGAAGAAATCAGTCCTGATGTTGATCATCTGCAGCTCTGCTGTCCGGGCCTTGGAGCTCATTAGGTTAGATACCTCACCTATTCATTTCATAAATGTTTTCTGAGTAACTGAGATGTGTCAAGTTGATATGTTCTATATGTTGGAAATGTAACAATGAACAAAATAGAATCCCTTCTTTCATGGAACTTACCTTCTGGTGAGGGAGACAGACAATAAACAAATAAATACACATTATGATGTCAGGTAATGTTAAATTATATAAGAAAAAATAAAGCATGACAAAAGGAAGGAGGGGGTTGGAGGGCTACTTTTAAAAGGGTTGTCACAGTAAGCTTTTCTAAGGAGAATGACATTTGAGCAGAGACATAAACAAAGTGAAGGAGAATGCCATGTAGATATCTAGAAGAAATACATTCCAGACAGAGTGGACAGAAAGTATAAAAGGCCCTGAGATACAATGCTATTGGAAGATTTTGAGCAGAAGAGTTACATGATCTGAATAATCAATCTAAAGGATCACTTTTGGCTTTTGTGTGGAAAACACATGTTCTGCCACTCTAGAGGCCAAGAGTAAAAGCAAGGAAATAATATAAGCAGTGACGAGTTGGAAAAAATAATGGAAGAAAAGATCTAATTTAAAATAATAACAAGAAAAAATAGACTACCAAATAATAAACCTACCAAAATCTATATAAAGAAAATATTACATAAGCAACTCAGATCTTTTTTTAAGAGGTGGTGGGGGCAGGGAGAGGCAGAGGGAGAAGAGAGAGAATCTTAAGCAGACTCCATCCCCAGCACAGAGCCTGATGTGGGGCTCCATTTCACCACCCTGAGATGGTGACCTGAGCTGAAATCAAGAGTCGGAAGCTTAACCCACTGAGCCACCCAGGTGCCCCACAGCTCAAAGGATCTTAAACAAAAGGGCATACAATATTGCTAAATAGGAAGAATCAGTGTAGGGATGCCTGGGTGGCTCAGTTGGTTAAGCATCTGCCTTTGGCTCAGGTAGTGATCCCAGAGTCCTAGGATTGAGTCCTGCATCAGGCTCCCTGCTCAGCTTCTACTTCTCTCTCTCCCTCTGCCGCTGTCCCTGCTTATACTTGCTCGTTCTCTCTCTGTGTGTGTCAAATAAATAAATAAAATCTTTAAATTAAAAAAAAAAGTCACTGTTGCAAAGATGCCTATTTTACCTAGAATAATCTATAAATTTCACAGATTCCCAGTGAAACTCCGGTAGAATTGGTTTTCTAACTCAATAAAGTTCAAAAGTTAAAGATAAGCTATAGTTCTAAGTTCATAAGAGAAAATACAGAAGAAAAATAACTGGGGAAATTCTGAGAAAGAACATTAGTGAGTGGATACTATACCTATAGTATCTACCAGATTACCAATAGATATGTTACCAAGTCTCCCTAATTCAAACAGTATGGAACCGGCATATGCATGACAGATCAGACCAGTGGAACAGAATTGGAAGTTCAGAAATAGGCCTATATGCATGTGAAAACGTAGCATATGGCAAAAGTGACAAAGCAGACGGGAAAGATGGATTATTTAATAAATGGTGTTGGAACAACTGGGTAGCCATCTGGAAAAGTAAAGTTGGATCCCTATCTCACTTCTCATACCAAAGTAAATTCCAAATAGATCGAAATTTAAATATAAAAATTATGTTTTAAAGATAATTTGTCAGTGCTTTACTAGGTGCTTTCACATACCTTTTCATTTACTGTAGTTTTTGTAGAAAAAACAAAAAGGTTTCCACGGGATCATTGATTTTTCAGAGAAGAGCCATCAGAGTAAATTGGGATTTACTGGAACTAGCCCTATTCCAGGGCCAGGCTTTGCACCGGCTTTGACAGGAGACAAAACAAAGGAAAGTTCAGGTCCTGGAGAAAATAAATTAAGGTGCAAATGTAGACTTTCAATAGTTACTTGCATGTATTTTTCTAAATGAACTAATCTGATTACAAATTTAGAAAAGTGGTTTTTTAAGTTCTTCAAACTCTCCTTTCCCCGCAAGGCACACGCATTAAATTGTATCACACCGACTCTCAGTAAAATAAAAGTGTTTCTTGCAACTATTTCTGCTCCAAACACAATTGATCTTCAAGACTCCAGCTGTTTCTGGGCAGCTATACTTTCTGGTTCTGAAGTCATAGTAGTTCACATTGACTTTTCAGTGTTTTAAAAACTACAACCACAGAGTTCATTTCAGATTCAAACATTAATGGCAAAGGGGTTGGCCTGGAGATGGCCTCTTAAAAACAAGCTGTCACATTGATTTGGGCTTTTACTCTACCTTTCTGAAGGGCATAAAAGCCCTGTGTTGTCACGCTTCATTTACCAATTCTGTGTTCTGTGTCTTTGGTAATATGATCTACTTCAAGGTTAGGTGATTTGCAAAAAGAGATTTCTGAGCTCGCACAACAAGCCCTATTCATAAAAACTAATGGTGGGGGCACCTGGGTGGCTCAGTCGTTAAGCGTCTGCCTTGGGCTCAGGTCATGATCCCAGGATTCTGGGATCGAGCCCCGCATCAGGTTCCCGGCTTGGTGGGAAGCCTGCTTCTCCCTCTCTCACTCCCCCTGCTTGTGTTCCCTCTCTCGCTGTGTCTCTCTGTCAAATAAATAAATACAATATTTAAAAAAAAAAAAAAACTAATGGTGAATAATTCTAACTTTTATAAGAATACCTATTCTTTTGAGGACCATGAATTAATGTTAAACATGTCCTCTAAACTCTGTCTTCCTAGTTAACCTTCCCATGGAGAAAGCTTATGTATGAGTACAAGTGCAGCAGAACTTATATAGTATAATTTACTATCTTGCAAACTCATATATTCCTACAGTCAATAACATTTCTCAAAACATAATAATATATATAAAAAACAATAATATTTCCAAGCATATTCCCATGTTAGTTCTATTCCCAAACAGCAACTAAAGGATTGATTGTTCTTTTATACCTGTTGATGCCAGGAGCATTAATACATACAAAATTTTGCAGAAAAGCTCATTCTGCTAAGTAGATAAAAGTGGAGGATTCCTCTGATTGCAGGACATAAGCCTTCTCCTCCCTGTCAGCTCATTCCCAGCAACCCACCATGGCAGTCACATACAAACTTTTGTAGATGCCTTTGGGCTCCACAGAGCATAGGCTGACATCACTGCTCCAAGATACTTCTTGCAACCAAATTTTGTATGAGAACTATACTGCAGAATTTAAAAATGAGTTCTCTGCCAGGGACCTGAAATATGGAAATTCTGTATTACAAATGAAGGGCAGATCCATAAGCTTCAGTTATCAAGCAAACCTAAGTAAAGTTAACCTTGTGTATGAAAAGTAGAAGCCAACCCAGATACATGCCTGAATAAAAGGATTCCTCACTTTCCTTCCATCCATGGGCCAACCTGAAAATCTCAGCGTTTTGTATCTGTGTATATTTACACATGCATATGCTCATAGTTACACACTTAAACACATATATTCTCTTTAAAGCAAGACATAATACTTAAGTAGTCAACGTGGCCGGCAATGAGTAAGTTTTCTTAGGCATTAATCTTTTTTTTTAATTAGGTCAATGACAGCATTTAGAGGGGACAGCAAAGTTATGAAATTATTTGCAAAACACATTAAGGTAAGTAAGGGCCTGTGGTTCCTGATGGGTATTGTAAGTTATCCTTAAGGGCTGCTCCTAGCTTTTTCTTAACTCCTTAGCAGGTGTTTTCTTTGGTGCCTTTTTATATAACATATTTAATAACTGTTGTGTTCTTTACATCCCCTGCCTTTGCATGCCCACCCGCCCCAACAAAAGTTACTACTCCTCTATGCTCCGAGATTCCTGCACAGAAGCTGAGGTTTGACCCCTGGGTAGTCTGAAGATTTGCCAGTTTTAGAGAATGATGCTTTTCTATCTTGATGTTAATTAACCTTCTTTGCACTGGAAGTTGGGCCTAAACAAGGGTAGTCCTATTTGCTTTTTTACTTCTTTAGCTTTTAGATGAAATGCCTATGATTGCCCTTTCTAATGACTCTTCTTGCCTTTCATCTCCTCCATCTTGAAATAAATAGGTCCAAGAGCAGGTAAAGTTGCTGGAGAAGCGTGTGGTGCACCTGGGCGTAGGAACACCAGGGAGAATTAAAGAACTCGTTAAACAAGGTATGAAGAGAGGCACTGATATGCCTACTCAGAACTGGGACTTTCCCTTTTAACCCACGTGAGTTTAGGAAACCACATTGGTGATGTAGTGAAACCAGATTTCTGTGTTCATCCGGGAGTTGGAAACAGTCTTTTGTCAGTAAAGCTAGCCAGCAGGTATAGTGCAATAGGCATTAATAGTAAGGCTTGTGGTGAACTGTGGTACATGTGCCCACCTAAATATATTCAAATTCCAGTTGCTTTAAGCAGGTTAGTGGATCCACAATTCATTTCACCAATTTGCAACCTCTAGAATTTGTAGAGCTGGATGAGTTAGTATATCCCTCTTAATTAATTGAATCTTGGTTCCCAAGACTGCCATTTCAGTTGAGGGTTTCATATAAAACATGTTGAAACAAAAATGCAGTTTCTATGGATGAAATATAAGTATTCTAGAATATTTCTCCCAAATGCATTTCTCTTTTAGTACTTTACCCAGAAAGTATTCCAGACGGCATCCACCCATGGGGTTTTATAATTTGTTAGCTTTCTCAAAGTGAATAGCCTAAAACCTGTTAATCTGCTGATGATCTTATTACCTGCTTTACCTGCCAGACTGATTAAAGATTTCTTTTCAATACTCATTTCCAAATTACTTATTTAATATAGTAATAGAAGTTTGTTTTATGACTGGAGCTATTCATATATATATATATATATATATATATATAAAAGAAATGGGTTCATCAATGTAATAACTCAATATAAAGATGGGCATTTGCCAAGAAGCAAACAAAAGCTTAAAATACTTATGTTTCTTTCCAGATGAAAGCCATCCTGGGTTAAACGAACCCACTATATACAAAAGGCTGTGCAATTACAAAGACGTAACAAACTTAGCAGCTCCAGACAAGGAATGGAAACATTTTTTTTTAGTTCGTACTTGCACTGGTCTACGCTAAACACTCTTAGGTGTCTCATTAAATATTCATGGTACCCGTGCAGGCTAGCATTTTTATTTCTTAGAAAACCCTGAAGCTCTGAAGGGTTAAGTGGCTCTCCCACAGTTTCTCAGTCTAGACTTCCTAGTTCCAGAGCTTCTCCCCCTCAAGGAGCTCCTGATCCTTGAAGAAATAAATGTGCATAGATGGAGATTGAGGACATGAGGCAGTAAATGCCAAGGGCCAAATGAGCACTTCCAAGTCCTATAGGAGTTAAAATACATTGTTATGGAGGCTGAAACTGTGTGGAAGGCATTAGGGAGGAAAGGATCTTTAACTGATCTTTAAAGTGTGAGAAGGGGGCGCCTGGGTGGCTCAGTGGGTTAAAGCCTCTGCCTTCAGCTCAGGTCATGATCCCAGGGTCCTGGGATCAAGAGCCCCACATCGGGCTTTCTCCTCAGCAGGGAGCCTGCTTCCTCCTCTCTCTCTCTCTGCCTGCCTCTCTGCCTACTTGTGATCTGTCTGTCAAATAAATAAATAAAATCTTTAAAAAAAATAAATAAAATAAAGTGTGAGAAGGATTAAAATAGGATCTTTGAAGTACAGAGATGTGAGAAAAAGCAATCAGGAATGGGAGTACTGCTGAGTCAGAAGAGGGCAGGCAGATACACATGATTGAGATAGAGGGTTGAGGTTACAAGTCCCTATTATGAATTCAGTCCAGAGTCAAATCCCAGGTCCAGCGCTGTGACCTTGGCAAGTTACTTAACCTCTCTAAATCTGTTTCTGTATTCAAATGACAGGGATAGTGGTAATATCTTCCTCAAAGGATTGGTATGATAATAAAATGCCAATAAAGAGTTTGACACAATGTGTTTCACACCCTAAGAAATCAAATGTTAGTTTTTATTTTTATTAAAGAAACCCACTTTCTTGGTTGGAAACTTCACGGACTTTAGTAGCTGGTGATTCAGTTGGAAAGAAAGTCAGTGTGGAGGGAGGGTCTTAAACACTAAGCTGAAGAGTTTGGGTTTTTGCCTTATGGACATGGGAGGACATTGAAGTGAAGGAACAGATGAGAGGTACACATAGCATATTTGTGAGATATAGGGTTGGGAGAGTTTGGCTGGCCAGCAGGAGAGCCCAGGGGTAAACCCTGCTTCTCCCACAGCTCTTAGCCAGAGATTCACCTCACCCCTCCCTAGAATCGAGGTGGTTTCTTGTGTGTCACCAAGCCCCCCATGCAAAAGAGTCATTCTTCTCCATATTTAAAAAGAGAGAAAGGGAAAGGGAGAAAACAAAGCTCTACGTATTGTTGAAATTTGATTTCCATAGAGTTGTGAGGTCTCACTGTGAAAGCTTATTTTATTTAAGAAGTGGAAAAATCATTTAAGGAGCTGTTGATTTTTTCTGCTCAGCAAGGAGTCTGCTTCTCCCTCTCCCTCTGCCCCTCCCTCCCCCACTCATACTTCTGTCTCTGTCTCTCTCCCTCATATAAATAAAAAAAATCTTAAGAAAAGGCGGGGGGAGAACAATTCTAGCACTCTAGAAACTGGGAATCTAACAAAGCTGAGCAAATGGCACATAACTCATTCTATGTAGCTGTTTATGACTTAAGACGTTTATATATATTTGATATATTAAGGAAAGTTTCCAGACTTCCAAAGATATCCCAGGACATTGGGATCTGTACAGTTATAGACAGAAGTATATTGTTTTAATTTAATAATGAAGGAGATTTTCTAACAATAAGAGCTTTTCAACAATGCAAAAAGGTATAGAAAAGAAAATAAATCACTTTAGAGACAATCACTTTTAGTTAATATTGAATATATTTCCTTTCTTTTTTTCTATGTATTTATATATTTTTATAAGTGGAAATCAAACTATATATAATAATTTTATAACTTGTCTTTTCAACTTACCTTTTTTCAACTCTTTTTCTTTTTTTTAAGATTTTATTTACTTGACAGAGAGAGAACAAGAGAGCACAAGCAGGGGGAGTGGCAGAAGAAAAGGGAGAAGCAGGCTCCCTGCAGAGCAGGGAGCCGGATGTGGGGTTCAATCCTAGGACCCTGGGATCATGGCCTGAGCCGAAGGCAGACACTTAACAAACTGAGCCACCCAGGCACCCCTCCACTTAAAATATCTTATGAGGACTTTCTTTGCCATGAAATAGTTTTAATTTTTTGTTTTTAATGGCTGCATAATATTCTACATAATATTCTGTTTTTTATCGTTTTAGTGAGACATAATTGACATGTAAACTTGTATTACTCCAGTATGTACAATATGACTTTATACATATATAGTGAAATGATTACCACAATAAATTTAGTTAACATCGATCACCTCAAATAGTTATAATTTTTTTCTTGTGACAAGAATTCTTAAGATCTATTCTCTTAGCACCTTTCATATGTACAGTACAGTATTAACTACACTCACTGTGCTGCACATTACATCCCCAGAACTTATTTACCTTACTACTAGAAGTTTTTATCTTTTGACCACCTTCTCCCATTTTCCCCAAACCACCCCCCCACCTTTGACAACCCCCAATGTGTTCTCTGTATCTATGAGTTATGTTTTTTAGATTCTACATTTAAGTGAAATCATGCAGTATTTGTCCTTCTCTGTTTGACTTACTTCATTTAGCATAATGCCCCCAAGATTCATCCCTATTATCACAAATGACAAGATTTCCTTCTCTTTTGTGACTGAACAATAGTGTGTGTGTGTGTGTGTGTGTGTGTGTGTGTGTGTGTGTGTGTGTAACCTTTTCTTTTTTCATTCTTTTGTTGATGGACACTGAGGGCTGCTTCCATGTCTTGGCTGTTATAAATAATGCTGCAGTAACAGAGGTGCATATATCTTTTTGAGATAGTGAGTTTACTTCCTTTGGGTATATACCCAGAAGTGGAATTGCTGGATCATATGGTAATTCTGTTTTCCATTTCTTGAGAGTTCTTCCATACTGTTTTCCATAGTGGCTACACCAATTTACATTCCTACCAACAGTACACAACAGGTCCCTTTTCTCCACATCCTCTTCAGCACATATTATTTCTTGTGGGGTTTTTTTGGTAATAGTTATCCTAGCAGGTGTGATGTAATATTTCACTGTGGTTTTAAATTACATTTCCCTGATGATTAGTGATGCTGAGCATCTTTTCATGTACCTGTTGGCCATTTGGATGTCTTCATTGCAAAAATATCTATATTCATTTCCTCTGTCTATTTTTAAATCAGATTGTTTGGGTTTTTTTGCCACTGATTTGCAGAAGTTTTTTTATATATTTTGGATATTTATCCCAAGTTTTTATATATATACATATATATATATATTTAGCAATTCAATTATGGTAGGATACCTGGATTATTCTTAATTTTTTGCTATTATAAATGATACTGCAATGATACTCTTTGCAAGTACTGTATTTAAGTTTGTTTTTTTTTTTCTTAAGATTTTGTTTCTAAAGTAATCTCTAGACCTAGTTTGGGGCTCAAACTTACAACCCTAAGATTAAGAGTTATATACTCTACCGATTGAGCTAGGCTGGTGCCCCACTAACTATATTTATGTTTCTTTTTTTTTTTAATTTTATTTATTTATTTGACAGAGATCACAAGTAGGCAGAGAGGCAAGCAGAGAGAGCAGGGGAAGGAGGCTCCCCGCTGAGCAGAGAGCCTGATATGGGACTTGATCCCAGGACCCCGGGATCATGACCTGAACTGAAGGCAGAGGCTTTAACCCACTGAGCCACCCAGGCACCCTATTTATGTTTCTTATGTATTTACTGAGATTTGTCATAGAAAGAAAATTATTTTAGCAAATAGTAAGCATTTTATTTTATTTTAAAGATTTTATTTATTTATTTGACAGACAGAGACTACAAGTAGGCAGAGAGGCAGTCAGAGAGAGAGAGGAGGAAGCAGGCTCCCCGCTGAGCAGAGAGCCTGATGTAGGGCTCGATGTAGGGCTCGATGTAGGGCTCGATCCCAGGACCCTGGGATCATGACCAGAGCCGAAGGCAGAGGCTTTAACCCACTGAGCCACCCAGGCGCCCCAAATAGTAAGCATTTTAAAGCTCCTATTATATAATGCTCAGGCGCCTTCCTGAAAGGCTGTTTCTGTGTGCTCTCCCACCAATAGTAAGTTATTTTTAAGGGAAGGCTACCAATCCATTGTCCTTCTCAAGTTATCATTTTTAATTTTGCAGAGAGAATTTTATTTTTTTAAGATTTTATTTGTTTACTTGAGAGAGAGAGAGAGTAAGAGAAAGCAAGAGAGTGGGGTGGAGGGCAGGGAGAGAAGCAGATTCCCCACTGAGCGGGGAGCCCGATATGGAGCTTGATCCCAGACTCAGTCCCCACTGAGCAGCCCACAGAGAGAATTTTAAATAAGAGGCATTATGGGGGCACCTGGATGACTCAGTCGGTTAAGCATCCAACTTTTAATTTCAGTTCAGGTCATGATCTCAGGGTCATAGGACTGAGCCCTGCGTCAGGGAACACTCAGTGCAGAGACAGCCTGAGAGTATCTCTCTGCCTGTGCCCCTCCCCACCACTCAGGTGCCTGTGTGTGCTCACTCTCTTTCTAGCTCTCTCAAATAAGTAAATAAATAAAATATTTAAATAAATAAGAGGAATTATAAGAAGAAAAGTCTTTTGGGCAGAAGGGGAAATATTGAAATAATCACAGAGAAAAGTTGAGGGGGAAGCGCTGCAGAGTAAAGGAAGGCTTCAGTTATGTTTCCACATGTTACATGAAACAGCTTGGGGCAATGGAAAAAACCTAGGGAGTGGGAAAAACTGTGCCAAACTCTGAGACCTCTGAGGGACAGACTCTGAGGTCTCCTCCAGCCCCTTATTCCGCAATTATCTCTAGATACAGAGGAAGATAGTAGAAATGGAGTCCTTCAGTGGTTTGCTAGTCTTCTCAAATGATCACAGACTTTGAATAGAGCCTATTCATATTTACTTCATTTTCTGTCTAAAATTAACCCCTGAACCCCACCCTCATCCTTCTGTCCATTCGCCTCCTCACAGTCATTCACACTGCACTGGACTCAACTCCTCTGAAGGGCCACTACCCAGGCAGCAGGATCCATCTTACCAAATTCCTGTCAGGAATGAGACTTCACCCTCTGGGGCTTCCTGAAAGGAAGTTTGGGATTCTTTGCCAGCACTTGAGCAATTGAGAAGCTTAGCAGCTTCTCTGCTTCCCTCAGAATCAGTGATAAGGTTGTAAGGAAAGCAATCTCAGAGTGCTGCATTTGTTTTCCATCAGCAAGGGCCGCCTCCTTCAGTGTGCGGAGATTAGTTGCTGGGGAAGAGGACAGCAAATGAGGCAAAAAGCAACCAGGAGACTAAAAAGTCATTTGAATAAGCTTATGTCATGAGGCCTTTGCTGTAGCAACTCTCTCTATGTTTCTTTCAGGTGGCCTTAATTTGAACCCCTTAAAGTTTCTCGTTTTTGACTGGAACTGGAGAGATCAGAAGTTGAGGAGGATGATGGACATTCCCGAGGTACTGTGTAACCAGCAATTGTTTTCAATCTTTTTTTCTTCAACTTGAACTTGCGTTCAGACACAGTAATAAAATCTTTGACATGGGGAGCGAGCACATTCTGGCCATTGAAATGATTTCTATCTTTTAACTCTGAAGTAACTGCAATTACAGAGTCCATCTCACCCACTTAGACCTAACTGTATCCGTTCCCTTTGTTTTATAGGAGTCAGCTTTGTTTCTTCTTTATATGACCAGGGGTCTCTGCCCCACTGGGGACCACATCTATATTGTACCTTTGAGAAACAGGAAGATCTGGAGGACTTGGCACATTTTTGTGTGTTTTGCTTTAGAGACATAGTCATCTTTGTCTTTCATCCTTAAAAATGTGTGAGGGAGTAGAGGCACAAACTTGCCTCGTGGCCTGCATCTCCCATGCCCCAAAACTCACTTAATATAGAGTGCTATTTTGTTTTTGTTTTAGTGGGGAAATTATTTTGATGTCTCAGTGTATTAAAACTGATTAAGTGCCTTTGTGGCCACAGCATTAGCTCATTCTGTATTATAAAAGTAATCCAGGGGTGTCTGGGTGGCCTAGTGGGTTAAAGCCTCTGCCTTAAGCTCAGGTCATGATCTCAGGGTCCTGGGATCAAGCCCCACATCGGGCTCTCTGCTCAGTGGGGAGCCTGCTTCCCCCTCTCTCTCTCTACCTGCTTCTCTGCCTACTTGTGATCTCTCTCTCTCTCTCTCTCTGTCAAATAAATAAAATCTTAAAAATAAATAAATAAATAAAAGTAATCCATTATCAAAATGTGAAAAATTGATTTGTCACCTACTGTGTATCATGGGACAATTTTTCAATCTAGCCCAATGTTTAGAAGTATCTGTTAGAGGGGTGCCTGGATGGCTCAGCGGGTTAAGCCTCTGCCTTCTGCTCAGGTCATGATCCCAGGGTCCTAGGATTGAGTGCCTCATTGGGCCCTCTGCTTGGAAGGGAGCCTGCTTCCCTCCTCTTCTCTCTCTGCCTGCCTCTTGCCTACTTGTGATCTCTGTTTATCAAATAAATAAAGTCTTTAAAAAAAAAAAAAAAAAAGAAGTATCTGTTGGAGAGAAAAAGATTTATCCAATAATAAAAATGGCTGCCAGTCACCAACCTAATTAATCATGGCAGCAACTATCAAAGAGATTTGGAACTAATCCTCCAAACATGCTGAATAAATTAACTTACCACTTAAAACTATATCCCCAGAATGACCAACCTGATTATGATTGATCAGTGAGTTACTTCAGACATCTGTACAGGTTAAAAGACAATTTTATCAGTTTCCTATACACATACACAAATACACGTGCGTGCACGCACACACACACACACCTGTGCCCTGAACTGACTGGTTTTTTATTTTAATGTTAATTTTTTATTTTTTGAAGATTTTATTTATTTATTTGACAGAGATCACAAGTAGGCAGAGAGGCAGGCAGAGAGAGGTGGGGAGAAGCAGGCTCCCCGCTGAGCAGAGAGCCTGATGCAGGGCTCAATCCCAGGACCCTGAGATCATGACCTGAGCTGAAGGCAGATGCTTTAACCACTGAGCCACCCAGGTGCCCCGTGACTGGTTTTTTAAAACCAGTTCACAAATTTGATGTTAGGAACTTAAGTCTATATCTGATTATTTCAGTTATAATGTGAAATATGAGTAATCCACTGAAAGTTTTCTAAATATAATGATAAGGAGGAATTGTGTCAAAGAAAAAACCTTGTCACCCAGTTATTTGTATTATGTTGATGTCATCATTATCAGCTATCCTATATTGAAATATGTGTGCAATCTCGCCATACTTTGGGTATTCTGAAAACCTTTATATAAGTTTTTTTTTTTTTAAGATTTTATTTATTTATTTGACAGAGAGAGAGATCACAAGTAGTCAGAGAGGCAGGCAGAGGGAGGAGGAAGCAGGCTCCCTGCTGAACAGAGAGCCCGATGTGGGGCTCCATCCCAGGACCCTGAGATCATGATCTGAGCTGAAGGCAGAGGCCCAACCCACTGAGTCACTCAGGCGCCCCTGTATAAGATTTTTTTTTTTTAAAGATTTTATTTGTTTATTGGACAGAGAGAGATCACAAGTAGGCAGAGAGGCAGGCAGAGAGAGAGAGGAGGAAGCAGGCTCCCCACCAAGGAAAGAGCCCGATGTGGGGCTCGATCCCAGGACCCTGGGATCATGACCTGAGCCGAAGGCAGGGGCTTTAACCCTCTGAGCCACCCAGGCGCCCATGTATAAGATTTTTTTATGAGATTTTATTTTGAATGGTTACAAAAGGGCCCTTTAATGAAATGGATGTTTTATTAAGTACCTCTTCCTTTACTTAAGTAAATATTTCAATTCTGAATAAAACACAGGTTAAGATTTTTGCCCTCCCTGATTCTGGCTATAACAGCTACACAAATACTAGGAGGTCCAGGTGGTTGAATTTATTCACCAAGACCATCTTTTCTTGATCTTAACCTTTTCTTTTCTTTTTTTTTTTTTTTCCTTTTCTCTCATTTAGATAAGAAAGGAGGTTTTTGAACTTCTGGAAATGGGAGTCCTCAGTCTATGCAAGTCTGAATCTTTGAAGCTCGGCCTTTTCTAAGTCTGGGTCCTAATAAAAATTCCAGTTTTTATGATGGGATTTGCATCTCATTTAATAGCTCTGGAATATTGCAAGGACTCAGTAAATATCAGCTATTGTTTTATTATGTTAACTGGATCACCCCATGAATCACTAGAAATTTTTGGTGGAGATTCTTTGACAGAAATGAAGCTGTCCTTTGCCAACTTCTCTGTATAATAAAGTATCACCAGCTTGTGTATGATTTTTTGTTAAGCAGACAGTTTTTTTTTTCACCAGCTGGCCTCTCATGTTACTTTGCAGAAGGGAAAGAGCATCTGGGCAACTTTAACCAAGCCACTTTCCTCTCTGAGCCTTGGTTTCAAGAGCTGCAAAATGGGAATGATACCTCCTAGGATTGTTGAGGCTTCCATATGACAGTACTGATGGAACAGACTCCTAAACTGAAGGCTGGTCCTAGTGTGAAGGGTGCAGTGGTGCTGATAGAAAGAGTTGTGGGTGTATGTGGCACTTGGCAAATACATGGAAGATAACAATATAACTACAACTATCTTAATTGTTTTGTACCTTATTTTAAAATAATCTCAGATTTACAGAAAATGTCTGGTAATACCTGGGAAAGCTACCTACACAACATTAGAGAGAAATGAAAGCAAAGACTTAAAAAAATCACACTCTGAAATTTCTCATGATACCACAATATAACAACTGCTAGTAAGTTGTCATATCCATATCTATCTAGAACTATGGATCTTCAACCAGGGACAATTTTGCCTCCCCGCGCCCACCCACCCCCCCGGCCCCAGGAGCCATTTGCTATGTCTGGAGATGTGTTTGGTTGTCACAACTGGGAGGATACTACTAGCATCTAGTGGGGAGTTGGGACTGGCTGTTACTTAGTAGGTAGTATCCTTTGGCCAAGGGTACTGCTCAACGTCCTACCATCCTACGGGACAGCCCCCACAATAACAAACTATCTGGCCCAAAATATTAATCAGTAGTGCTGAGGGTAAGGAAACCCAGTTCTAGAAACTTGAAAAACAGAGTATATGAAGTATATCTGTATCCTTGAAGTATATTTATTTAGAAGAGAAATATGTAAATATAAAAGCACCTGTAAAGTGAGATCTGGCTCTCTTAGGAATGTTACCTCAGAAGTGTATTCACTTAATACCTGTGATGGTTAATTTTATGTGTCAACTTAACTGGGCCAGAGGTAGCCCAGATAGTCAAGCAAAAATTATTCTGAGTGTTTCTGTGAGGGTGTTTTTAGATGAGGTTTAAGGGGAGGACTTGAGTAAAGCAGATTGCCCTCCCTCTTGTGGGTGGGCCTCTTCCTGTTAGTTGAAAGCCTAAATAGGACAAAAGGTTGACACTGCTCACCCCCACACACCCTCCACAAACCACTCCACCCCACCCCCCCACAAATAAGAGAGAATTCTGATTCCAACTGAAACATTGGCTCTTCCTATTGATAGCCTTCAAACTGGGACCTCGGCTTTTCCTGATTTTACAGCACCTTTTGGCCATTAGACTCAAATCAAGACATCAGCTCGGCAGATTTTGGACTTGCCAGCCTCCTCCATAATGACGTGAGCCAATTCCTTCTAATAAAATCTCTTTATGTACCTCCAATTAGTTTTGTCTCTCTGGAGAACCCTGACTAATATACTACATGAAAGTTTCTCCTACTTTGAGATTTGGGTTAGTTTGGTTTTGTTGTTTATAAAAAGCTTCAGAAATCCTGTTCTTACAGATTTGTTACTGTAATGCCCTTTTGCTAGGTGTTATCTATGTAGTATAATCCCACCCAATGTTGGACCAAATTCCTAGGTGGCAAACATACCTGATTATTTTGTCGGCCAACCATGCGTATATAATCTAATCTTGTAAGCTGTTGCTGCCTTTTAAACCCAAGATCTTGTCCGTGTTTGTTTAGTAAAACAAATAGATGTGAATTAGAAGTATTCACTGCCATCTTCTCACACAAAGCTGATACCAGCAGCCATACCTGCCACCGGCTCCAAGCCAGATTCAAGTGATGTGCTGACAATTTCCCCCGGCATTTGCTTTTCTCAGTTTTGCAAGTGGAAAGCTTCGACTCTAAACTGGATTCCATCTAGTATGAGTTTTTGCATTTATTTTGTATTCTTTTAAACTAGGCACACCTGCCAAAGTTGTTGCCTTCTTTAATATAAAAATAGTCCAAGGGTACCTGGGTGACTCAGCCAGTTAAGCGTCTGATTTGATTTTGGTTCAGGTCATGATCTCAGGGTTATGATATCAAGCCCAGCATCAGGCTCCATGCCGGGTGTGGAACCTGCTTAAGATCCTCTCTCTCCCTCTCTTTCTGCCTCCCCTTAAAAAAATAAAATGAAATAAAAATAAAAATAATCCAGCATGGCTTCTCTGCCTAATATTAATTAAAAAAGGAAGATTAGGAAGTTGCCTTCTTTTTTTAAATCCTAAATTTGTACCTTAAATACATCTTAAAGAAAAGAAATTATTAACAGCCCAATGAAATGTTAAGGCATTTCTGATAAATGAGAAAAACCCCAAACCAAACTAATAATACCATATTGCAATACTGAACATTTAATTCAGTATCTATCTTCCTCTTCCTTTTTCTTGCCTCATTTGAGCTACTCTAAAGCACATGCTTGGAAAAATTTTAGGAGGAAATGTTTTTAATGTACACTTTCTACTGGAGTCTTTCTTATGGATGAAAAAATGGCAGCTGCCGAGATCAGACATCTGTGTTCCACAATCCCAGTTTGCTTCCCTCTTCCTCATTATCACAAGTAGCAAAGTTAGCTGTAATCTGAGAGCATTCTTCCAACTTAGTTTATATTTATGTTAGAAGCAGCCACATTTGGAAAAAAGCTGATAGCCCTAACTTTTATTTTTTGTATTAATCTCCAAGGCTTTAGGCAAGTTCTCTAAGATAAATCCATGCTCCCCCTTCAGGAAGGGCTTGCCTTGAATTAGTCACCACATCACAGAAATAGCCCATTATAACTGCTTCGCAGTATCACTGGATGTTGGTCTGTGCAGACCCTGCTGGGGACTATTCTTCTTGGGCGTGGCATTTAGCATACGCTTTTTGAGCCTAAAGTAAAATATACCAATGGCTGATTGAAGAGAGCTGTGTTATATCCTGCTAAATATCAGGTTCAGTTAAGGAATAATTCTGAGAAGTAGATGCAACTAAAAGGAAATTTCATATAATTCTTCATTTAGTATTAGCATTATGCAGTATCACTATGTGTAATAATGTTTTAAATGCCTGGAAAGCATACCTCAGTCACCTGCAGGGCCAAAATGAAGAGGACATCTGAGGAAAGTCAGTCCCGATTGCCAGACAACTCTGCCCTGAAGCAGCAGCAATTGCCTGCCTACCGGCTACAGCTCACAGCCACTGGAGTCCTCTCTGGCTTTTTTGCAACAGGAGTATTCTGCCTTGGTGTTGGCATCATTCTTATATTGTCTGCAAAGAGTATCAAGGAAATAGAGGTTTGTCCCATCTTACATTGTTAATGTAGGTTCTAAGAATTTTCAGCTTTGGGACTATAAATGAGTGATCCGTTTGAGAACACAGCCCCTCAATAAATGAGACTAGAACATCCCTTTTTCAGTTAACCAGTGAAGATGGTGGCAGCCTGTGTGTTGGCTTTATTCATCCCTACTCCCTCTTAAGGACACTCACTCTCACGCTGGTCTGCTCAGCCAATCATTTACAGGAGCCTGGCAAACCCAGAAGCTTTTTAAGCTGGCTGGAGAACTGATCAAGGATTGATAGAGGTAGGAGAAGGAGGGGCAGGGTCAAATGACTGCCAGATGCCTGTGAATCATATGGATAAAAAAGTAAAGAGACAAAGAGGTCTTCAATTTTGTCCCACTTTCAAGCTTTGTGTCTTTCCCTTTGCAAATGAATTCCCTCTGAGATCATTATTTTAATCTAGGAAAGCCAAGAACCCAAATCTTTCTGGCCTCTTAAGGATACTTAGAAATATTAACTAAATTCTGCTGGAGACTGAGAGTTTGCACACGAGTAAGATAAGTAAGAGTTGGTTCCTGCCCTCAGTGAGCTAATGATAGAGTAGTTAAGGCCGTGTGTGGTAAGAGCAGAGAGCTCAGCCATGGCTGCCTTGTTCACCGTATCCACAACCCCTTCCTTGCACACTGCCCAGTACATAATAGGCGCAAACTTAGTGGAAGAATTGATCAGGGCAAACAGGGCTTTAAAGAGGAAAACACCATGTCATGTCCCACTCCTCTTACCAAACCACACTGCTCTAATGCCTTTCCACTTATATTTTCTGCTACCAACTCTCAGCAGTTTATCTCCCCAGGAATTAAATGCCCCTAGGTCCTTTTGAGTCCTCCAGTGAGAGATTTAAATGACCAGGGTCCACCAAATAGCAGATGAAAAATGGCAAGAGAAAATTAAACTTGCCTTTTCCACAAACAGCTCATCCTATTTACTTTTTCTATTTTCTTCTTCACCAACACCTTTCTTTCTGATTTCCCTCCCCCCTTCCCTTGCTTCTTCCCTTCTGGTTATCCACCCTCACTCACTGTGAAGTGCAGCCTTCATTAAGAGGCAGCCATTGCTAAATGATGTCACCTCGTGCATTTAAGGGAACCTCACTCCACAGTTCACTAGCCACTCTGCAAACAGCTTTCAACAGAATGATTTTTATCATGTTAAGGATATTTTCCAATTGACCTTTTTCCTAGTCACTTAGGATAGGACATGTTGCTTTTATACAAGAAAACCAGAAACCACTGTAATAGTGAGATCCTCTTTTGCACATGGATGTATTTCATTATACTGGGTGATAAGATGAAGTGCATACCTCAGGCCAGTGTGATCAAGAACAGACCTAGTAGAAGAGTTCTAAGTGGTTTTCCTCTTCTCACTTAGCCTTGGGCTACAAGAATGAAGTGACTTTATTCCAATTCCCTTTGAGCAAGAATGATTGTTCCTGCCTGTCCAAATTTCTATGAGGAGCAAGCAGATTGTGATCTTTCCTGTCATTTTAGAGCTATAGGTTTACAAAGTCATTCAAGAGAGTAGATCATAGATATGTTTTCCTTATAAATATTTATTGATTTTATTATTTTTTCCATCTTTAGTCACCTATTTCACCCATCCCTCTGCCCTTTTCCCCTCTGGTAACCACCAGTTTCTTAATAGTTAGGAGACTTTTTTTTTCTTTTTTTTTTTTCCTTTGCACATTT